GCTTTGAGATACATTTCCCCTTCTGACACCCTCACTCCCCATGTCATCTCCCCAAAGGCTCTTGGAACCAGACGGTGGACGTGGCGGTGAAGACCATGAAGAAAGGCTCGATGCTGGTCCAGGAATTCCTCGAGGAAGCCAAGATCATGAAGGGCCTGAGGCACAAGAACATCCTGGTCCTGTACGCCGTGTGCACGCTCGAGGAACCGATCCTGATCATCACGGAGTACATGAACCAGAGCTCCCTCCTCGAATACCTGCGAGATGAGACCAGGACGGTGGGAGAGATCAATGACCTCATTTACATCTCTTATCAGGTGAGGGGCTGCACCGTCGACGACCCAGTGGAGTGCGAATGCCATGAATCTAAATAGATGGATCTATATATTTTTCACTGAGTTTTTAAAATGCATTATAGGTCGCTGATGCCATGGCGTATCTGGAGTCGCTGCAGCTAATCCATCGTGATCTGGCAGCGAGGAACGTCTTGGTGAAGGACGGACTCCACTGCAAAGTATCCGACTTCGGGCTGGCGCGAATCATAGACGAGGAATATAACCCGACCAGCAGTAAGGGACTACGGACTTTGATAGGCATATTTGAACGCAGACACACAGTATGTGCACACATGAACACGTAAATAAATTTAGATACAAGAATAAAACAGATTCACACAACACACACACACACACACACACACACACACACACACACACACACACACACACACACACACACACACACACACACACACACACACACACACACGCACACACACACACACAACACACACACACACAATGCAGAGTGCAGTGCGATCGCATTAGAGCAGAACAGCTCTTACATGATGAGAGGATTGGGCAATGAGTGGTCTAGTCTGCTTGCCATGGGTTCTGTAAACGTTCATGTTAAAAAAAAAAAATGGATTGAATAAACGAACAAGTAAAAAGAGGCAGTAAGGCTTTGCGAGCCGGGCGGCGAGAGCGAAGGTAAGGGAGGCAAGAAGTGACCGCGAATCCTGCATGGTAAGCGTTTCGCGCCTGGAGACAACTGCCGGAAGTACAGCTCAATTTTTGGGTTTGTTTAATGAGTGGTTTAATAGTTATGTTGAGTGCTAGTTAGAGCTGTCAATCCAGTAATACCTTTTGCTTTTCAAATACCCTATGATGTAGCGATGAAGTGACACTTTACCCCAAAAAAGATAGAAAGAAAGATTATGAAAGCAGACATTTACAGATACAGGAGAAAAAAAAAGAAAGAGACAAAAAGGGAATGATAATGATAATAATGATGATAATGATAGTGGTAATGGTGATGATAATTATAATGAAGTCGGTTGGGTATGACTTCCTAGTTGGTAGATGATAGATACCAGAAATGAGAAGATAGTTGTTTATATATCATAGGCAGATATATAGAGTACATTGTTTACTTTTCTTGGATTCAATACATCGCATTTGATATATAGAAATAAATTGCTTTGGATTGTGACACACTGTAATAACAACGAAAATATTACAGAAGGCGAAACTTTTTCTTCTTTTGTGAAAAAAAGTATTTTCTGAAGGTTGCTAATGCTTGTTGAGAGGAAATAACAGCAAAGAGTTTCAGTATACTCCAGAGGCATTTGATATAACCGAAATATACATGAAAACAGATATCTTTATAGCAGTCCCTGGCATTAATATGATGACGTTACATAGCCCCACTCGAGTATAGGCTATACAACACATTTTGACAAGTCTGTGAACAATAACGAAACTATAAAGATAGTTGCTGAAGGGGATTACGAAATCAGCCTTCAAAGAAAACAGTTGTGACATCACAGTTTCTGAGCTATTCACGACTCGAACACAGCCAATCACAGAGCATCCAGGTATTCAGTCAGTTGTCCCGATAGTCCTGTTGCTAGTATTAAAAATCGTATTTAGCCCGAATATTGGAGGTTGTGATGATTGATAGGTACATTAATATAACTGAATGCTTGTATTTTGCATTGTTTAGACAAGTCTGCTCTTGCCCCAGTACGATAGGAAATGGTAAAGAAAATGTGTGGAGAAAATAACACGCCATGATGCCTTGTTAAGAAACGGTTATTTATCTATTTCTTTTCGCCCGTGGATGCAGCAATGGAATTGGTCAAAGGCGACAGTTCTGGTGGTATCCTGTAATGGGTTAAGAATGGAATTATTTATTAGAGTAAAGTGTAAGAAGAAAATTATGAAGGTTGAAAGGAAGGGATTAATTACCTTATTCACAAGTGAAGTAATGAAAAGATACAGGTAAGATGTGGGTGAGGGTCTCGATCCCACCTCATGTTTTTCCTATGCTTATAGTAATGCTTATTGATTTATGATAAATAGCAAAAGGGAGAGTGGTGAGTTAACCTTAGATTTGAATTCGATTAGTAGATAATATTGCTTGTTTTTATTAAAAGTTACTGCTACACACTTAGTAGAGAAATTAATTCAATCCACCCCACTAGATATTTTTACAGAAATACACAAAGGAACCATGAAATCTGAAAAAAATGTCAAAGTCAATCACACATGCAAGAAACGACATCACATCACGAGCCTAAGACCGTTAAGTTATGCTACCTATATTAAAAGTGATAGTGCCAAGATTCATGTGTTTGCATGCATGCATGAATGTATATAAACACATCAACACAGACACACCCACCCACATATATATGTATATGTGTGTATTTGACACAGTCACACACATGTACATTCATACCTATATATCTAAACATCTTTATTGCACACTCTTGACGCGAATCTATTTACTCACAGATTTAAAATTCCCGGTGAAGTGGACAGCACCCGAGGCCTTACTGAAGGGTACATTCACCATCAAATCCGACGTGTGGTCCTTCGGCATCCTATTGACCGAAATATTTTCCTTGGGGGCCGTGCCTTATCCAGGTGAGGTGCTCCTCCTTTCCTATCATTTAAGTGTGGTTAATTGTGTCTCAAAACATGTTTTCGTTCTCCCTTTTTATAACGTAGTTTTTCTCCGTGTCACAAATGAAAGAAAATGTGTACTATTATTACGTACAAAAATTGTTACATTTACTATTATTACATTAAAAAATTTCAGGCTTATCAAAACATGAAGTACTGACAAGCATCCAGCAGGGATATCGAATGAGCAAACCGGAATTCTGTCCTGATGAAATCTACGAACTTATGTACTGCTGTTGGAATATCACGCCCGAAGACAGGCCGACGTTTAGCTTCATCTTCAACTTCCTCCAGAATTTCGACGTCCAGAGAGTGCGCGGGTACGAGGAGGCCCGTCAACTGTACTGAGAAAATGGATCAGGAATCCTCCAAAAAAAACTGTTTTCAGAACGCATCGTGCTTTTATGGAAGCCGTTTTGGGGCAACTTTGAGATATTTCCATTTTCTAGTTCTTGGCCTTTAACATATGTACAAGTGATACTCGTGGATGCAACAGTAGCTTTATATTTATAGTACATGATTTGTAATGATTATTTTGTGGTCATAAGATTACCTTAATACCTGGCAGAATTACCTACAATTCTCATTGCTTCAATTGTCAGTTTAATGTTAAGATGAATAAAACAACAGAAAGATGATCTTTGATAAAAGGTTAACTGGTATCAGGCACCTTCTCTGCAGCACTTAAGTTCCTTACCTCGCTGCAATCATTATTATCAATATAGAACCAGCATTTTGACTGAGCTGTTGATGCCAACCAAACGCCATTTGCAACTGAAGTATAGGTTTCAGTGGATTAAATTTCATCCCCCAAAATTATAGGAAGACATAGGAATTTACAGTAAAAAGGTAGATGACAGATTGGGTAGAGATGCGATCAGCTGATATGTATTGTCGTTGGACGGCAGGAGCGGCACTCTGTTTGTTTACATTCTCGTACCACTGTATAGTCGGAAAAAAAAAAAAACTTATCAGTGTACATGGCTGTAATGTCCGCGGTTTACATAAAGCTGGAGAGGATTTGTAATTCATCAAATGGGAATACAAATGCTTCAGATGGATTGGCAAATGCTTTACATGGAATCTTCCAAGCTATCATTGCTCTTTATAACGACGGAGTAACGGTGAGATAGCGTCATAACGTTTAGAGGCTGTTTTAGCGGCAGGGGGAGGAAATACAAATTATTGAAATTATAAATCCCAATTTCTTTTAATCTACACGCCCTAATATTAAAGAACAAATATATATCATTATAAACAAATTCATACTAACAGTTGAATTTCACCATACGTCGCAGAGGGTTGCACTGAAATAAATATAGAAAATAACAAGGAGACATGACCGCTCATTTGTCTTACAGTAACATCTGTTGAATCAGAAAAAAAACTAAATGGTTAAGACCAGATTTTGACTTTTCCATATGTAAAAGCAACTTGATTTTGAGATAGCGTTGTGCAAACCAATATATAAAATTTTCCCCCAATATAAAATGTGACTGGAAACTGATTAAAAGCAAATTTCCAAACTTGGTAAACAAATGTTTCTAAAGAGTTTACTCCAGTTCATTCAAGCCTTACGGAGTATGAAAATGTAAACAAACAAAGAGGTGCACCATCCACCGTCCACCGAAAACAGGTGTAGGCGACTGTACATATTTTCGCCAAATTTCACATGACTTTTGTATTTGATTGTACATGTTTTTTATTTTACGTGAATTGTTGGAATAGGTATAAGTTTATAGTCAAATATTTTCGCCGCTGTAGATCATGGGGTGTGCCCGAGGGGCTGGACTAGGGCAGGGTCCTTCACTGGTTGCAAGCTCATGTTCCGTGGGTCGCTACATAATAATAATGAATATATATATATATATATATATATATATATATATATATATATATATATATATAATATACATACACATATACGTATACATATATACACATACACATATACGTACGTACATATACGTACGTACATACATACACACACACACACACACACACACACACACACACACACACACACACACACACACATATATATATATATATATATATATATATATATATATATATATATATATATATATATATATACATATACATATGTCAAACGGGGTCGTGATGACAAGGGTTTGAAGAACCCTGGCTTAGAGTGCCGTGCGGCAGCCCTGGAATCTGAATATCCTTCCCAGGTGTTACTCCATTATCTTACACTACGATCACTTTTCTCCCCAGTCTGAGGCGAAACACTACTGTAGTAATTGTAGCAGGTATGGGTAGCGCAGACGAGTTGGTGAATCATTGCTGCTCTTATCGGCTAGTATAATAATAGAATGGGCGTATTTTGCAGGTATTGTAAATTGCCGCGATGTGTTTCGTTTATATTTAACTTTCGATAGATAATTTAAGTTTTGGAGGTCCTAATACACGCAAACTACGAACCAGACAGAAATAATCACGATCTTTGGGATTGTCCAGCGTTTTGGATCGAAGGTTCTGCAGGGACGATGCCTATAAACCTAAACCTTATGAAAACACTGAACCTCTCTTTGATTTTTTGCTCGTTTACGTGCATCAAATTTAACTCTACAGGAATAACATTTTGAATATATATATATATATATATATATATATATATTATATATTTTTTTTTTTTTTTTTTTTTTTTTTTTTTTGTAAGAGACAATACAACTTCAGTCGATGCAAAGTTTCTATCAATACCATTTTTTTTTTTTGTAATAGGTATGATTTTATCTCAGCCAATAATCTCAAGCGCTAGCAATGACAACGTTACTGTGCAATTAATAGTCACTATTTGGTATCATTTCACCTGCCTGGTCTGCATTTAAAAAAAATCTGAAAGGCAGAGATACACTCATAGATTGTGTGACGATGCTCTCTGTGAATTGTACGCATTACAGATTTTGAAATAAAACAACCATCTTTTTTGATGCATGTAGTTTTTATCTCAGAAACCAATGAAGTAGACGAATAGGTATATTTTGTATTTTCGCAGCAGTAGAATAAAATATAGAATAGTAGAAAGAACTATAAAGACAGGTGTGACAAGTAGCAGACACACACACACACACACACACACACACACCTATTATATATTATATATATATATATATATATATATTGTATATATGTATATGTATACATATATATATATATATATATATATATGTATATATATATATATATATATATATATATATATATATATATATATATATATATGTATGTATACGTACATATATATATATATATATATATATATATATATATATAATATATATATATATATACATATATATACATATATATATATATATATATATATACATATATATATATATATATATATATATATATATATATACATGCACACACACACACACACACACACACACACACACACACACACACACACACACACACACACACACACACACACACACACACACAATGAGTGTGTGTTTATAAAAGAAACAAACAGATATATAAATATATATACTATATATACACATGTATATATAGTATATACATGTGCATTCTGATATGTATACAATTAACAGCATGTTAATTTCAAGGCCCGACGAAATGCTAATCACTTAGACCTAACGTAAATTTCGAGAACCAATCTCATACCAAAAAAACTTAGCGGCCGTTTTATCACAAAAAATGCACAGGACATGAACGCTTCAGGGAAACAGAAAGTCGGGGAATTATCCGAGCCCAAGGCAGCGTCGCCTCGGCCGCCATGTCAACAAACCTCAAGGGCGGGTTTAGGTTGGCGATCGTTTGCCTTCAGTCTGTGCAAAGTCATTTTCTTCAACGACTCTTAATTTAGAAATGGTAGTTTGTGTAACTATTCATCTGTGTTTGTTATGTATTTCTGGTATTTGTTGTGAATTGATATACGTGGTGCATTTGGCATATTTCTGTGTATGCCTGTAAGTCAGATATATATTGATTTGTATATGTATGTGTATGTGAACACAGACACAGACATGTACACGCACACGCACGCGCGCGCGCACACATACACATATATATATATATATATATATATATATATATATATATATATATATATAGGTATATATAAAAACCTATACACAGAGACACACACACTATATATAGATAGATAGATAGATAGAGAGAGAGAGAGAGAGAGAGAGAGAGAGAGAGAGAGAGATAGACATACATATATTATTTATATATGAATATATATGTTATAATTCATTCTATATATTGTAATTTATATATAAACATGTATATAAATAAATAAATATATATATATATGATATTTTATATATACATTTTATATATATGTAATCTATATATAAACATGTACATATATATATATATATATATATTATATATATATATATATATATATATATATATATATATATACATACGCGCGCGCGCACACCACACACACACACACACACACACACATAATATATATATTATATATATATATATATACATATGCACATAATACGCACACGTATATATATATATATATATATATATATATATATATATATATATATATATATATATAATATATATATATATATATACATATATATCATATATATATATATATATATATATATATATATATATATATATATATATATATATATATATATATATACGTATGCACATATATACGCACACGCATCTGTATAAATCTATGCATGTATATTGCTGAAATCCTGATTAAATAACTGGACATTGTACTTGCATTGTAAACATGATTCACGTGTTCTTTGTTGCCGTAAGTGACACAGCTGATCAGCGATGACGTCACTATCATGGCTTCTAGGAGATATCCCTAAAAAATAATCATGTGTTTACAAGGCAAAATTTACGAGAAAGATGTTTACCAAATGCAGTCATTAGGTGGTATTTTGCGTTTTTAGTGAGGGTTCATCGGTAATGATGTCACAAGCAGTTACGAATTTAAGAAAATAGATTATTCCTACCACTTTTTTTTTTTTGCCAATATAGACAGGGAGAAAACCTTTCATGGAGGTGACTCTGCATCCGGGAGCATTATTTGCTGAAGTCAAGGAGCGAGGATAGACAAAGAGGTAAAAAAGAAAGAAAGAAAAAAAAAAGACAAATACCAGATAACTTCGGATGGCCATTTCAAGAGGCAGGGAGTTCCGTGTGTGTGTGTGTGCGTGTGCGTATATAAGTTTCCCGCGCTCTCCAGCAGACGCACACCTGAAGCATCCGGTGACTGGAGAAGATCTACGCTATGTCTCGCCTTCACGTTATTCTCTTGGCAGGTGAGTGGGGGATGAGGAAGAGATCGACTTGTAATTTTGCGTGTGACTGCCATGATATTTTGCTGTTGTTGATATTTTGGGGTTTGTCGAATAAAACAGGGCAAGATAAAACGCGTTTTTTCCGGAACAACCTGGAAGCAAAGTTCCCTAGCAGAGGTGGCTCGCTCTCATTAGTAATCATTCCTATATTATTATGGCATGGGTTAAAATTCAGTGTCTTCCATTTCTTTTTATGTGACTATTTCTTCATTCGTTGGCCCTTAATCCCCCTGCGTTACCCCCACCCCAGCCGTGATCGCCGGAGCCGTCGGTCAGCACGGGCGCGACACCGACCAGCCGGCCACCTTCAACTGCCACAAGAACGGGCTTTTCCCCGACTACCAGCGCAACTGCCAGGCTTACTACCGATGCGAGAATGGAGAGCAGACCACGTGAGTGAATCGCCGTCGTAGTGGGTTGTGAAAGTTGTCAATGACATTGGTGAAATGCGACGAAATGATGTTTTGCGCACACACACACACAAACATATATATATATATATATATATATATATATATATATATATATATATATACTTATATGTATGTATATATACATACATACATACATACTATATATATATATATATATATATATATATATATATATATATATATATATATATATGCACACACACACACACATATGCATATACATATCCCTACATACACGTTAATATCTATATAGATATAACTAAACAGATAGAAGATAAGTTGGTAGATAGATGTAGAATGTATCAGTCTTCATAAAATACTGATGTGTATAATGCACACAATTGTGAATTCCGAATCGCATGTCAGGAAGATTCCTAAAACCACTTATGTTGGACAGACACTTGACTTGCAACTTGACACACTTGCAACTAGACTTCCTCTTCTCTGCATCAGCTGACTTCTAAGTTTATTTACCCCCCCCCCCGCCCCCGTTCAGATACGGATGTCCTGACGGCAAGATCTTCACCACCAAGTTCAACCAGTGCATGCCAACCAGTGTGGCGACGTGCGACTAATCTGGCCGCCAGGGTGATGACGTAATTTAAGTTAATGACGTCATAACTAAGGTGCTGAATTGATTGGTACGTGTCTGAGATGTGTAGCCGGATGCCGGAGATGCTGCAATAAATGGACATCATAGGTATGATATTGTTTGTGTAAAAACCTCGGCTATATACATACATTTTTAAGCACATGCACACATAAAAACACACAAAAAACACACGTAAGCATAAGGCCGTATGTATATATGTATTTGTGTGTAAATACATACATGTATGTATGTATATATATTATATATATATATATATATATATATATATATATATATATATATATATATATATATATATATATATATGTGTGTGTGAAACATAAAATGAATGGCTGATACAAGCATTAGCCGAAAGAAGGTTGGCTGATATTCCACCTCTACGGAACAAAAATGCAATAGACTGTAATAATCCTTTTTGAAAAAAGTAAATAAATTTAATGGGGTTATTATGCTCAAGGGAAGTGCAGTGGCCACAAAAGATGTTGAATCTGAAATTGATATATGTGAATCTACTTTTTTAAAGAAAAAACATAATTTTTCCATTTCCCAATTAAATATTCTTCCACACCCATCTGAGTCTAATGAATATATATAAAAAAATCAAACCAAAACAGTCTTTTTCTGTAAAAATAAATAAGCTCAGTGGACATACTCAAAATATCGAAAGCGGTGCAGTGAAATACGATATTCAGTAGACAAATTTATTGGCGCAACCCCACCCCCCTCATTTCTAGGGAAGGCCGGCTTCTTTCCACGCCCACTCTTACAAAAGCCCATAGGCCGTTCTTTTCCTATTCCCCCTTTCTTTCCCTATTCCCCATATACAAGAAACATAGAAGAAAAAAAATCGAACTTTTCCCGGATCTACAAATACATTTTATAAAGCAGCAAGATGGTTTCGTTTTATGTAAATGTCTAAACAACATTGATACAGTGAATTATTACAATTTCTCAATAAAAAAAGCCTTAAAATTTGTTGATTTGTGAAGGGGGAGGGTAATTTTGATGGAAAATTTTCCCCTACAAGATCCAGGGGAGATGTTAGCAAGTCAACTAGAGGATGTAGAGGGGTAAAAAACGCAAAAAGATTATGTAAAAAAAAAAAAAAAAAAGTCCGTATGTATGATGACTGCATATACATATATATATATATACATGCACAGCCACAACATATATATATATATATATATATATATATATATATATATATAATATACATATATATATATATATATATATATATATAATATATATATACATATATATGTATACATATGTACATATATATACACATATATATGTATATATATATATATATATATATATATATATAATATATATATATATATATATATATATATATATATATATATATATATATATATATGAACACAGCACAAACGCAGTAACCTGTACACAAATTAAAATGAAAACAACCACAATTATCACGTTTCGAACTCTTCACAAGTTCTCTTCAGACAAATAATAATCCATTTCAGTTTATTATTTGTCTGAAGAGGAACTCGTGAAGAGTTCGAAACGTTAGATTTATTTTCTATTCTTACTGTCTTGTTTTCATTTCATATATATATATATATATATATATATATATATTATATAATATATATATATATAGATATAGATATATGTATATATATATACATATATACCTATATATATTTGTATTTATATGTATATATGTACATATATCTATATATAGTCATATATATACATATATATAAATGTATATGTATATATATAATATATATATATATATATATATATATATATATATATATATATAGTATATATATATATATATATATATACACACACACACATATATACATTATGTGTGTTTGGATATCGATTTCTCTTTCTATATCGACATTCATCTATTAATCTACCTACCTATCCTTATACCTATTTATTTACCTATAGCTATATCTATATCTAAATCTATATCTCTGTACAGAACATATGTATGTAAGTATGTATGTCCCCCTCTCTCGTTCTGTCTATCGATCTACTCTCACACATACACTTACATGTGTGTATGTGTGTTTGTGGGTATATATTAAATCTAGTAGTTCTCAATTACACACATAAAATTGCATAGGGAGATATAGATAACTGCCCTTCGATGACAAAACTGGTAACTTTATATTCTCATTTTGAAATAGATGATAACTCCTTGATAAACAGGGAAAATATCTGTCGCCTGCACCTATAATATTCTAATTTCATGGATAAGTAGCCATTAAAAAACAACTTTTAGTCCATCGAATTTTCCATCGGGTTTATTTATAAAAGAAATACAACGGGAAATGTAAAACCTTGCAAAACCAATCGCTCATTTATAGCGGAAGCACATACACAGTTCCACCCAACGGCGCTTTCCCAACAGTGCACTGGTAGCGAGAGGCAGTTGCACAGCAGGCTAGTCACCGCGCCTCTGTTTACATCTTGAAGTCGACGCCCGATTCCCTGTCAATCTCTTTAGGACCTCTTCTCAGACCTAGAGACTCGTACACCTGAGTCACGAATCTCCTTAGTTTGTTGACGAGGTAGTTGCTTATGGTGCGCCTCACGGGGTCGATGAACACGTGGTCGATGTCGATGATGCTCTCACACCCTGGCCAGAGCCTCCCAGACGTCGCGGCTTCCAGGTTTTTCTTCAGGGAGTCCAGCAGGGCCTTCGGGGGCGTGGCCAGCTCGTAGTTCCTCCAGGCTTGGTACACAGCCTGTGTTGGTATCGAGTTACTTATCCCCTATATTTACGGAACTGTGTAGGATTTTATTATTATCATATTTTTTAATGGTTAAACAGCTCTGAGTAAAGAGAGAGGAGGAAGAATAAGATGATTTAGACGTATCGCTCGAAGATACTTCTATCCATACCAAATTGTGGGGTAATCTCAACTGTACCAAACCAGGGATATAAATCAGGAGACAACTAAAGACAATATGAAAGTCATTCACCAAAATAATAAAACAAGTGGAAGGCAAAAGAGAAAAGGTAGAACAAACATCTCTGTGTCTAAGGCTCCTCACCATAAACTTGGGACTGTCGTAGTAGAAGTGGTGGCCGTATCCGTGCAGGAGGGACACGCCTCGCTTCCATACCTGAGGGCACGTGATGTCGCCGCCCTGGCACAGCTTGCTAACGTAATTCCACTCACAGTCCAGCTCACGTACCAAATTCGGGTACTGGGAGGAAAGAAATAATAATGGTGTTTACTGCCGCAGTAATTGTTGAAGAATATGGCACATGCGGCTCGCGTGCAGCACAGCGAATACCACTGCACTATTTTGTTTTCGTTTTTTGTGATATATCTACAGTATATTGGTAAGTCGGTCAGTCAGAAATGCTTATTCACTCTGATCTCAATAAATCAGATAAATATTCGGAATTCGGCAAATGTCAAGAGGAAATCAATACATCCTAATGCATTGCTGTCCATGAGGCAAACAAAATCCAGACAATGAAATATACTGTGCAAACGTTGGTTATAATCACATTCATTATCAGAGTAGAAATTACTCTTTCTGGTCGCAATCACCTGGCTGAAGATGGTGTTGACGAGGCGGTTTGAGGGGGTCGAAGTCATGACGGTGACGAAGGTGTCGAAGGCGGTGACGACCTCGCTATGTGGCCCGGAAATTGCCTCATGCGGGTGAGATTCATGAGCATGACGCCGGTATTGAGGCCGTGTGGGGTGTGGCGGGGTTCCTGGAAGGGGGCAGGGGGGAACGGAACCGATTAGTGAAAAAAGGCAAGGCATAACTGGTTTCATGACTTGGTTTCGATGGGTCTAAAATGTTTCTCTACCTTGGTATGCTATCACATGATATTACTAAGCTTTGTTTTAACAAGTCTTTGCTGTAAGAAGAAACAAATGCGTGTGTGTCGCATCCAAGGTGCATGGGAAATTGAACAATTTAGAGGCGCTATGACAGATCAGCACAGAGGCCACGCAGGGCGCATGACTGGTTTCCTTGGCCCCGCCTCCACCCTGGTCGTGTCGGGATCCCAAGGATCGGCGGGGGCCTCGGCCGCCAGCGCCATCACTTGCACGCTGTCGAACTTCGAGAACTCTTGCCACAGGTTCTCCGGTGGGACGAGGAATAGAACGTCTGTGTCGATGTAGATAACAGCGTCCAGGTCTTGGAACTGGTACGCTTGGAAGAGCTTGGCTGTGGAACACGGCCAGCGGACGTCCTGCAGGTCGGGGCGCCCCGGAGGATACCACACAGGACGCCGTTCGAAAACGATGCGGTTGCGATGCTCGGCCGCCCACATGGACGTCACCTCGATCAGCACTCGGTAGACTTCGACCGCGTCCGTGCACACGATGAACCTGCGGAATGCTTCGCCTTTATTAATGCAAATGACTGTGGCTTGGGAAACTTTTGCCAGCTTATTATTTCATTTAGTATATCGTCTGCTGTCAGGGAAAGATCTGCTGAATAATTCCTGTTATTCACATCTTACCGTATGTGTAAATATTAATACTACACCATCACTCCATCACCGCCATTATCATAAATGCCTCCCTCTATACTTTTGTCTAAATCCTAACTATCGCCATCATAATCATTCAGCATGGCTCTTAGGAGAGACAATGGTCGAGAGTAAATGAGTGCCCTAGCATACCTGAGTAGAGAATTTGTGAAAGCCACAGCAGACTTCAGCATGACCTCACACTGCCTCATTTGCCGCCTCACGTCCGTCATGATGTTGTCAGGGTGACCTGTAGAAAAGAAAACACACAGTGCACATATGACCATATTGATTTATATATATATCTATATCTATCTATCTATCTATCTATATATATATATATATATATATATATATATATATATATATATATATATATATATATATATATATATATGAAACAATATTTCTTATATTAGCAATACGATATAGAAGCAATATTACCTTTACAGATTACGACATAGAACACCAGTTCTTGAGGAGCGTTCTGCACTTTTCTCACAGAATGCTTTGGAGTTGACATCATTTTCGAAGATGCTCTCGGAAGCTCGGCATTGCTTTGCACCTGAATGTCTCCCGTCACAATTACCTTATCTTCCAAGTGATCCGCGGATACTGATGCACTACTCTTTGGCAGCGCCTCATCGTGCTTTGCAACATCATCCTTAGCTTGGAAATCAACATTATTTGCTCCTGAATCACCTGGCACTGAACCCGCTACTAATTTTGGATCCACCATTTTCTCTCCCAAAGGCGGAGTATCTTGGGCAGCCATTTTGTATCCCAAAGGCTCAACGACAGAAATCGTTTGTTCGTTTGGTTTCTGCGCCCCCGCCACGTTCGAAGGTGCTGTTGTGTTTCCTGTGCGATACGAGTCTACTTTCCCAATTGGGGATTTTTGGTAGAGTGTCACATCTTTTCTCGAGAGGTTTTTCAAAGCTGCTTGTTCCGTATAAGGTGCGTTTTTTGTAATCTCAAGCCCTGCAAAGAAATCATATTGATTGTTGTAATTTTCTTTCATTGTCATTATTGTTATCATGAATTATTATCATCATAATTGGTATTATTATTATCATTATTATTACTATTATTATAATCATTGTTATCATTATTATGAACCCTTATCAACATTATCATTATTATTGTCATCATTTCTATGCCATTACCTTTATCACTTTCATCATCGTTGTTATTATAGTTATCATTATCATTAACATTCTTATTATAATCTTCGCTCTCACTATCAAATTATTGTTATCCATATCATCATCATTATTACATTTTTTGTATAATAAAGGTTATCCTAAAATTTAGGTATTTCCTCGCCATCATTACTCTTTCTTTTCCTTATTGTGATTTGCACCATTTTCCTCACCACTTGCTATTTACTTTCTGATTACCATTACCATCATGAATTATACCATGTCTAAGTACTCCTTTTCTTTATATCATTTCTCTATACTACATCTATTCCTTTTCTCACCTATACTTCAATTTTACACTATCTGTTCTGTTTCTCCCTGTAAATTATCATCTGCCATCCCAATCATCATTACCATTCTTTCCATTAACCGCCATCATTATTTTCCTTTCCCAGGTGAGGCTACCTGTGTTTAAGCACCTTGTTATAAACCTCCCGAGGAACGCCCTTCCCCGTGTCACCGAGAACGAGGATCTCCAACTTACCTCTCACGATCGTCGACTTCGCCAGCTGGTGGTTGAGGAGGAACCTGTTCATGAGAACGTACTGAACGGCGATAAACCCGAGGAACGTGAGGCAGAGGAGGAACGTGATGAAGCGACGGAGCGACATTTCCCTGCTGGTGGAACGGGGCAAGAACGGGGTGGGTGGAGGAGCGGGGTGTTAGTGTTTTATAGAGATGGAAGGATAGAGGAGGGAAGGGGTGGGGAAGAGGTAAATGAAAGGATGTAAAATGAGGATGAGAAAGGCAGGGGCGGAGGGAGAAAAAAGGGAAAAGGAGGGCGAGGAGGAGGACGACGAAGAGAGTGAGAGGAAGAGGAAGAAGGGGAAGACGACAACGACAAGAGGAAGGAGATGAAAGAAGAAGGGGAGGGAATGGATAATGATGATGATGATGATGATGATGATGATGATGATGATGATGATGAGGAGGAGGAGGAGGAGGAGGAGGAGGAGGAGAAGTTGAAGGAGGAGGAAGAAGAAGAAAAAATAGAAGGACGAGGAGAAGGAGAAGGATAGGAAATGGATGAAAAAAGAGGAGCCGGAGTAGGAGGAGGAGGAAGAAGAAGGGGATTGAGGAGGAGGAGCAGAAGGGAAAAAAACACCAGCTGTTATAGTAATTATAGGAATAGTATTTTAGAAAAAGCAGTAGAGCAGGGGTGGCCAGCCTTTTGTGAGATATGAACTACTTTTTCTACAGTTACCCTGATGCGATCTGCCAGCTTAAGATTCAAACTTATGATTAATTGCATGTTGTTCAGACATGTCCATCATAATAAATATAAATATAACTTATTCCCAGAAAAAAGAGAAATATAGTAATCCAAGTATCACGAGTACTTGGATATGCTATTGCAGTTATTTGCATGACTATTTCTGAAGGACGAATTATTAACAGGTGCAGTAGTGTGATCGACAAAACAGCCTTGTGATCGACCAGTTGCTCGCGATCGACTGGTTGGCCACCCCTGCAGTAGAGGAAGAGAAGAGAATAAATGAAAGAAAGAGGAGAAAGTGAGTAAATAAGCAAGAAAAGAGAAGAAAAAAGAAGGAGAACAGAGAAATAAGAAGAAATGTTTAAAAAATGGTTTGTCGAAAAGAAATTTAATTTCTATTGTAATATTGAAAAGCTTTTATTTCCCTCTTATAAACTTAATCTAAGTTTGCTTATCGAAAATACTGTACATCCTTTCGCCTTCCCGTCCCTCTCCACTTGTCCTCACCTTTCACCCTCCACCTCCCTCCTTCACCTCCCTTCCTCCCCATCCTCCTCCTCCACCCCTCGCCTTCTCCTCTATCCCCTAATACCCCTCCCCTCCCCCTCACTCTCCTCCCTCCCCTCCCTCCTTCACACTCCCTTTCCCTCTCTTCCCCTTCACCTCACCTCCCCTCCTCCTTCCTCCCCTCCCCTCACTTCTCCTCTCCCCTCCCCTCTCCTCCCTCCCCTCTCCTCTCCTCTCCTCTCTCCTCCCCTCCCGTCTCCACCCTCTCCTCACTCCCTCCTCTCCCTCTCCTCCGCCTCCCTCTCCCCTCTCGCGCCTCACCTGCGTTTTCCCTCTCCCCCTCCTCTTCCCCTCTCCGCCTCTCCCTCCTCTCCTCTCCCATCTCCTCTCCCCTCTCCTCTCCCCCTCCCCCTCTCCCTCCTCCTCCTCCCCTCTTCTCCCTCCCCTCTCCCCTCCCTCCTCTCTCCTCTCCCTCCCCCCTCTCCCTCTCTCTCTCTCTCTCTCTCGCCTCATTCCCCTCCCTCTCCCTCTCTCCCTCACCTCCTCTCTCCCTCCTCCATCCTCTCTCCTCACCCTCACCCTCTCCCCTCTCCTCTCCTCCCCTCCCCTCCTCCTCTCCTCTCCCTCCCCCTCCTCCTCCCCTCCGCCTCTCCCTCTCTCCTCCCTCACCCTTCCCCTTCCCCTCTCCCTCTCTCCCT